GAGAAGAAGAATACTATCTGTAATGGTAATTTCCAAAACAAATTTTGGGAAATCTGAACTTGCACTAAACTGCATACAAAGTGTTCTCAAAGTCACCAATTAGAAAAACAGGAACACTGTTATTATCTGCCATGGTATGGTTCAATACTATAAAGAAAAATTCTAGGGACACCTGGGTGGCTCTGTCAGGTAAGCATCCAACTTCAGCTCAGGTCATGATCTCATGGTTTGTGGGTTCGAGCCCCATGTTGGGCTCTGTGTGGACAGCTCAGAACTGGGAGCCTATTTTGGATTCTGTCTCCCTCTCTCTCTCTGCTCCTCCCCCACTTGTACACTTTCTGTCTCTCTCTCTCAAAAATAAATAAAACATTTTAAAAAACTGAAAATGAAAGAAAAATTCTAGAAATATTTGAATTTCTCTATACTTCATTCTAAAAGGTGATGAAATTTGGGGAGACAAACTCTTTCTCAGAAGGCTACCTATGTCTATTACCCTCATTATCATATTTTCACCACCATTTTAAGTTTAAACAAACTAAATGGGGATGGAATGTAAGGAATTATTAATTTTACTTTCATTTGAAAGAGGATAAAGTATACTCTCAAAGATGGTCTTATCTAAATTAATTCAATTCTAGAGAGAATGCCCACAACAGAAGCCATGTAAACATTGCAGACCAATCTGCTACAACTTAAAAATTCAGAACTTGAGCTATGCGTTCCCCCAAACATCATCAATAATCAACAATAATATTGGATCAACAATAATATTACCTTAAGAGGCTACAAGGAGAAGTTTCTTTTTTCTTAACTTTTAAACCACTAAGGAGTTCATATCATTATCAGCTTAAAGAGCCTCAAGGTGCACATCTAGTGAGCAGAGCCAGCAGTTGGGAGAAACTTGATGAGTATTCAGTCAATACTCAGTTATTCTGCTAAATATCTCTCGTCATTACAGAGACTGGTGATCTTTTACAGATTTCATTTGCTTTAAAAAAACATCTGCTCATATATTTTTAAATGTAGATTCAATCTCTAATAGACCACTAATTAAAAACAAAGTCTAAGAAACTTTGTTGAAATAAATACAGATAAGCATTAGGATACTTCTTAAATTTCACTTATTTGCTCAAAATCATCATAAAGTACATCCAGATACCCTAGAAATCCAAAAGTCATGTTAAAAAAATAAAAATAAAAGTCATGTTAAAAAACAATTTAGGTATATCCAATTTGTTTTGTCATTTATTAGGAATAAATACTATACACATCAGCATGTACTGTGTGAACAGCTTATAGTTTCAAATATCTCACCATTTAGATTTTTTTTTTTTCAACGTTTTATTTTATTTTTGGGACAGAGAGACAGAGCATGAACGGGCGAGGGGCAGAGAGAGAGGGAGACACAGAATTGGAAACAGGCTCCAGGCTCTGAGCCATCAGCCCAGAGCCCGACACGGGGCTCGAACTCACGGACTGCAAGATCGTGACCTGGCTGAAGTCGGACGCTTAACCGACTGCGCCACCCAGGCGCCCCCAATATCTCACCATTTAGAAATGAAACTTTTCCTTAGTCACTGGTTTATTTCTCTAAGGGAAGAAAATTCAAGAATTCCAAATGTTAGGAGGCGCCTACGTGGCTCAGTCGGTTAAGTGTCTGCCTTTGGATCAGGTCATGATCTCACAGTTCACTAGTTCAAGCCCCACACTGGGCTCTCAGCTGCCAGTCAAGAGCCTGCTTCAGATCCTCTGTCCCCCTCTTTCTCTGCCCCTGCCCCACTCACACTCTCTCTACTCATACTCTCTCTCTCTCTTAAAAATAAACTTAAGAAAAAAAAGAATGTTTTAAAAAATTTAAAAATTAAAAAAAAGAATCCCAAATGTTATGTAATAAAAAGAATTTTTGTATATTTGATGTGGTGACAACCAGTTAGTTATATTTTGAGCTACATTTTAATATACATTTGGTCCCCAAACTAAATATGGTATATTATCTTGAAATCCATTTGTTGATAAATCATGCTCTCTTCCATTTTAGTAAAAACACTAAAATTAATCTATAATTGTCTTCAATGAGTGCTCAGTACCAACATGTGGTGATTTGTCAGTAAGTGTTAAAAGTGAGCTATGTGCTACTTCTATGAATTCATCCTACAGATAAAAACACCAACATATAGTGCATGACTCTTGGTTTCAGCTCAGGTCATGATCTCACAGTTTGTGAGTTCAATCCCCATTTGGGGCTCTGTGCTGACAGTGCAGAGCCTGCTTAGGATTCTCACTCTCTGCCCCTTCCCTGCTCTCTCTCTCAAAATAAACATTTTTTAAAAATTAAAAAAAATAAATAACACCAACATATAGACAGGCACATGGATGTATATATTGCAATGCTGCGTAATAACACAACATTAGAAACCAACTAATTAGGGGCACCTGGGTGGCTCAGTAGGTTAAGGTCCGACTTCAGCTCAGGTCATGATCTCACGGTTCATGGGTTCAAGCCCTGCATCAGGCTCCGTGCTGACAGTATGGAGCCTGCTTGGGATCCTCACTCTTTCCTTCTCTCTGCCCCAACCCCACTTGTACTTTCTCTGTCTCAAAAATAAATAAACTTCAAGAAACCAACTGATTTATAGGGAACTAATAAAATACACGATAGTCCACTCATATTAAGGGATATTATTAAACTATATAAGGTATGCTAGATCTATATGTATACAGCTAGAGAGATAACCATGCTATGTAAAGTATAAAAACAGAGTTATAGGGCACCTGGGTGGCACAGTTGGTTAAGTGTCTGACTTAGGCTCAGGTCATGATCTCACGGCTTGTGAGTTTGAGCCCTGCGTGGGGGTCTGTGCTGGCAGCTCGGAGCCTGAAGCCTGCTTCAGGTTCTGTGTCTCCCTCTCTCTCTGCCCCTTCCCTGCTAGCTCTCTCTCTTTCGTTCTCAAAAATAAACATACATATATACATACATACATACATACATACATACATAACAACAGAGTTACAGAATTTTTTTTAAAGGAAGAAAACCCCTGTGTAGGTTCTGTGTGGGCATCATAATTAAAAACACAAAAACAAGGGCTGCCTGGGTAGCTCAGTTGGTTAAGCATCCAACTCTTAATCTCAGCTCAGGTTTTGATTTCACAGTGATGAGGTCAAGCCCCATGCTGGGCCCCAGGCTGGGCATGAAACCTACTTGAAAAGAAAAAGAAACAAAGAGGAGCAGGAGCAGGAGCAGGAGCAGGAGCAGGAGCAGGAGCAGGAGCAGGAGGAGGAGGAGGAGGAGGAGGAGGAGGAGGAGGAGGAGGAGGCAGCGGCTGAGGTGGAGGCGGAGGAGGAGAAAAAGAGAAAGAGAAAGAGAGAAAGAGAAAGAGAAAGAGAAAGAGAAAGAGAAAGAGAAAGAGAAAAAAAAAGAAGAAAAAGGACAAGACAAACACACACCAAAAAAATTATTTTTAAAAGCCCTGTACTTCAACCCTAATTTAAGGAAAGAGCTGTTAAGAATCTTTCTAGGCCCATAACCACAGGCTCTCCAGATGCTGTTCAGTAGCAATAATGATACCACCATCAATTAAACTGGAGAAGGTAAAGGAGAGATTGGAAAAACAGAAATATCTAAAGAGAAACAAAAAAGGGACTAGAGAAAGGAGTCCTAGGAATAGATGAGAAAGAAAAACAAAAACATGAGAAGAGGGGCAAAGAAAACAAGTGAGAAACTTTTAAAGCTTCACTGCTATTCACATATTAAACTAAATACACTGTAGAAAATGCTTTCAAACCTACACTGTAAGGGGTTGCTTCCATTTGGGACTGTTCGTATTGTTGCATTTTTCTGTCTTCTTTGACTGTCCATCAACTGTGACTTCCACATAAGGACTTGGTCCAAACCAATTCTTTTTATTTTCTTTAAGTTTTGCTGAAATGACTAGGCAAAATAAAGGAGAAAATATTTAAATATTTGAGATGTTAGTTCATCCTTCAAATCCATTTAATTTCATAAAGGTTACATAGAACATTATTACTTTTACTCAGAGAAGCAGTTTTAGTCTAAAATACTTACTAATCTTATTCACTCATAACCTTTGTATTTCCTTCCATCCTAGTAAATGAACATAGGACTTCCCCCACATCATTCACGCAAATTACTATTAATAGACTCCCCAATGTCAGTATCAATAGTCTCAGTACTCTGAAGTCAATTAAAAAATACACCATCAGGGGCATCTGGATGGCTCAGTCAGTTGAGCGTCTGACTCTTGATTTCAGATCAGGTCATGATCCCAGGGTCGTGGAAATGACCCCAGCATTGGGCTCTGTGCTGAGCATGGAGCTTGCTTAGGATATTCTTTTTCTCTCTTTCTCTCTTTCTCTCTCCTTCTCTTTCTCTCTCTGTCTCTCCCCTTCTGCCCTCACTCACGTGCTCTAATTTTTTTTTTACAAAGTACATCAACAAACTCAGTCAACAAATATTTGAATCCCTAACATGTACCAGATAATTGCTCTCAACTGTAAATAGTGCAGTTTACAGTATAGAAAAGGCCCTGACTCTCAGGGAGATAATATCCTAGTTAGAGATAAGTCCTTGTGCTGAAAAACAGGCTAATGTGGCAGAATATAATTTGGTAATCTCTGAAGAAACAGTTTTAAGCAAACATCTAAATGACAGGGAGTTTGCCCGGAGAAGACTGGAAGTGGGAAGAGAGCATCTGGAGAGAAGCAAAAAGGCTTGGCATATCTGGAGGAAATATAGCAAACAGGGAAGAATGGTAAATGAGGTGAGATCACATTCAGCTTTATAAGCCCAGATAAGGAATTTGGATTTTATTCTAAGCATGCTGGAAAGTCACCAGAGGAAGACAGTTGCAAACTAGGATTGTTTTTAGCGTCTCATATCTCATATTAGCAAGAGCTTCCTACAAAGTACATCTTAAGATACTGACTGATTCCTTCATATTCACCCTTGAGTTAGTTACCTTTGCCAAAAAATAGCCTTGTCCAAGACCCTTGGAAGGTGCAACAAGTAAATTCAAATCTAGTAGAGCACCTAATAATGGTTCCCACAAGTTGACAACTCGTTGCTCCCCTATAAATGAGGTGATCACAGCCATGGAAACATTCTACCACCTAAATATCTATTCTAGCAGCTAAGCACAGAGAATGTCAGTGCCCACCAAGATTAAGGGACATTTGGTATTGCTACACGAGTTTGTATAGCAGCTACCCAAGAAACTCAATATACAGTCCAAAGCATACACAGTCTGGGCATCCTAGCAGGTCCAGTCCCAGGTGGCAGCTATGAATCTCCTGACTTCACAAACATCACTTCTTTCCTTTGATACTTATATGCCTTTTTGGTAGCATGCAAGCCAGCTGCTGGGTTAGTACTCCCAACAATGTATGCACATTCTATAAACCAAAACTTCATCATTATTTTGGAACATTTGGTATAATAAAGTTTGATGAGATTTCATATCAATATGCAGTATCAAAAAAAGTATCTGTCAAAGAAAGAAAAAAAAACTGCAAGAGATGTTACTGAAGTAGGCAACAAGGAGCCTCTGAGGAACTGTAAGTAAGAGTGCTATTCTGGGGCACCTGGGTTGAGCGTCCAACTTTAGTTCAGCTCATGATCCCGTGGTTCATGAGTTGGAGTCCTCGTGTCCGGCTCTGTGCTGACAGGTTGGAACCTGGAGCCTGCTTCTGATTCTGTGTCTCCCTCTTTCTGCCCCTATACAGCCCACTCACACGTGCGCTCTCTCTCAAAAATAAATAAACAAACATTTTAAAAAAAGAGTGCTATTCAACAAATTTTCTGAGTGCCTACTATATATATCAGATATTATTTGGGGCACTGAGAATACAGTGATAATCAGATTAATACTCAAAGATAATTCTGCTGTGGGAAAAATAAATTGATAGGGAGACAAAAGTGGGGGTTAAGAGACTACTAGAGTCATCTAATCAAGAGATGACAGTGGTTTGGATGGTGAACATGAATACGGGGGGGAATAAATATTTTCTAAGGAGAACCAACATGATTAGATTACATGAGGAAGTTGGAAAAAAGAAGAAGCAAGGATAATTCACAGGTTTTCGGTATGAATAACTGAATGGAAGAATACGTCATTTAGTAAGATGGAAAGATCTGGGATACAAGCCTGAGGGGGGGTGGCATAGGCAGGAAATCAAGAGTATTATAATGAATGTGTAAAATTTGAGATGTTTGTGAAACATCTAAGTGTAAACACTAAAAAGTCTTTCTCAGAAAACAATCGAGCAGGGCACAGACCTATCTCTGATTAATATGTACTATAAAGCTCAAGTACTTAATACAGAGCAATATTTAATCACAGGATTGCCACAGAAAATTATAAAACCCTTATTTTTAACACATTTCTGGCCTGAGAAAAGGTGAAAAAAGCCTAAACAAGTTTGCAAAGACCACCATTGTACTTCAGAGGCTCTTATGGACCTCTGAAACTGATTAAATCTAGAACAAAGCAATGTAGGCCTGACAGGAAGGAAACCATCTGCCCTCAGTGGCATTTTAGGATTCAAACTTTGCAAAGTTATTTTGCCATATAATCCCACCCAACCCCACTAGAGACATTGTAGGAAACTTTAAATGTGGAAATAAAAGAGGTAAGTGAAACTAACACTAACAGTTAGTGTTGGCTATGTGTCTGCCACATAAACATTTTCATTAAAAAAATTTTTTTTCTAATGTTTATTTTTTGAGAGAAAGAGACAGAGTGTGAGGCAAGGGAGGGGCAGAGAAAGAGGGACACACAGAATCCCAAGCAGGCCCCAGGCTCTGAGCTGTCAGCAGAGCCTGACACAGGGCTCCAACTCACGAGCCATGAGATCATGACCTGAGTGGAAGTCGGATGCTTAACCAAGCCACCAGGCACCCCAAAACACTTTCATTTTAATACTCAAAAGACTATCCTGTGAGATAGGAATTATCATCTTAATTTTTACACATAAAAAGACAAATTCAACAGAACTTAAAAGTTTGCGTGAGGGTCACTTGCGAAGCCTGAACAGGAGAAATTAAGTGCTCAAATCTCAGTTTACATTGCATAAAACTTTTGTTACAGTCCCAATATTAAAAAATAGATCACTGCACTACTTCCTGAAACTTAATTTACTATAGTAAATTAAAAGAATAAAAATGGTAAACTATAAGACAGGAAACTGAAAAATCTCAGTATCACATCACATGGGCTACCGCAAAGGTCTCCAACAATTGTTTTTAACCTCACTTCTGCAACCCCTCAACTTCTAGGATTATCTTCCTAAAACAGATGTGCTCATGTCAGTACTTTTCAAATACTTCTCTAATGCCTGCATGATGAAATCTAAACTCTTCTGGGCATTTCACATTGTTGTTTACCTCAGTTCACAGCTAAGGAAACTGAGGCTCAAAGGTATTAGTGACATGCACAAGGTTACATAACTATTAAGTATCAGAACCAAGACCAGACATTAGCTTCTCCGGAGATGGGAATCATTAGTCTAATATACATTTCTTAACTAAAACTTGGGGTCAGGGGCGAAATGACCTCCCCAAGAGTTTAACGATAGAAACTTTAATGGTACACAGGTCAAAGCATTTGACAGTATTTATTATTTTCTACTATAATTTTTGCATCTATCTGATAAACTATACAAGAAAGTTATTGCCCAATATGAAAAATACAGGGACATTCACTAACAATATTCCAGTAAAATGTGAACAAATTAGTTAAATGCCAACAGAAGTTCCCAAAGCAACTGCTTCAATGAATTATCTAGATCTATGTGAAAGAGTAGCACAAAAGACAACCTTTCTTATTCAACTCAAACTTGAAGCTAAATGGCTACTCAAGTTATTTCCATAAATTAGATTCAAATTACAGAAAATGTTACTGGAGAGTGGTCAACATGGTGGAGAAGCAGGGGGACCGGAAGTTCCCGTGTCCCTCAAACACAGCAGTATTGAGGCCAGAAGACTTGGAATTCTAGGAATCCGGGTTACAGAGTGACAGAAACATCTCCAGGGGCCCACAGGGACAACGTAGCAGGCCATAGGTGCATGACTGCAAACTGGGAGAGATAAAACAGGCGGCATAGGAATGGAAGGGAGGGATCCCCTTCTGTGAAGAGACAAAAGGAAGAGAAAGACAGGCTGTGGAAATGTAGGACTGTATTTGGACAAGAGAAAAACCATGGACCGGGGAATGGAAAAAAATGGAGAAAGAACCAATTTCTAACTGTGGGAGGTGGGGAGCCAGCCCTGAGCTAGGTAGCTAGCTCTCAGGAGCAGAGAGAACAACCCTTTCCCTTGAGTGCTACGAGAAGACAAATAGCCATTCCAAGGACAAAAGACCCTGTAGGCCCATGAACCCCTTGCCCCCCCTCCCCCACACCAGCCAGAGGTCCTTTGTACCTGACAGTACCCCAGAGTGACAGTATCCAGGAACTGGGACAAGGGATCCCGTAAGACATTGGGGTTTGAATCCCAGCCACGTGCCTGGAAGGCATAGGAGATGGTGGAGGGGGACATAGGTGGCTGCTTGCACTCGCGCCCACTCAGCACTGTGAGCCAGAGGCCCTCAGCTGACAGGCTGGGTGGAGTGGCACTTCCCAGGAACCAGGGTGCGTGGAGCAGGATTCGGGTTTTAATCCCACCCAAGCACCTGGAAGGTGCGGGAGACTGTGGAGCAGGACAAAGTGGCCTGCTCGCGCCTGTGTGGCACTGTCAGGATGGCCTGAACAGAGTGGTTTGGGACACCTGGTCCGGGGAGGAGAGGCTGGGGTGTTGCCAGTTTTCTCCCCATCACCAACAAGGTGGGGTTTCAGGGAACAGACAACGGGCCCACAGTGGAGGTGGGACCCACATACACCAAACCACATCCCTCTGTATCTGGTAACTGCATATGT